TACTTTGCAGGCAAAGATTTTGTTGATTTTGGAAGTGTTGATTGGAAAAACGTGTTGAGAAAACACAGAGTAACTGATCTCAGCCGCGTTGTTGTCTTCTTCGATGATCATCAGAATGAACTCAAAAGGTATTTCCATCTCTTACCCTTATTGCATTAGCAAAGAGTTAACTGTTTATTTTTTCCTGATATGCTACCAAGAGCAGGCTAAAGCAGGCATTGAAGGCAGGTTTCCAACATCTCATTTTCGAGGATAACTACGATACAGGAACAGGGGATCACTATTCTCTAAGACAGATATGCGACCAGTCATATATAAAAGGTATGTTCAATAAAAATCTCTCATTTAGAGATGCATGAGTTTGGATCATTTTCTCATATGATGTGTTTTGTTTCTCACCAGGAGGCGGCCACAGCTGTTTCAAAGACAGTGATGAAGCGAGGATAAGATCAAAGAGGAAGAAGTTCTGGGAAAAAGCAGTTGATACAGAGGAACTATGCGGACCAGGTGAAACCTGGTGGGGAGTGAGAGGAGAAATGAGAGATGACTTTAACCACACTAACACACAAATCTCATACAATCAGCATTTTCAGAACAGCAGATACGTTGAATCGATTCTTGATGTCTATTGGGAGGTGCCACCTGTTGCAGGACCTTCGTTGACTCATCAATCTCGATATGACCCTGCTCGTTCGACTCCACCGATTGTAGCAGATGGGAAGCGCCGTTTATTTCAAAGACTCGGTTTAGGTCGGCTTGATAAGTCTGTGTTCAATGGCTATACTCAGATGGTTTACCTACAGATATCTAAGCCCAGGTCATAGAGACTCTGATTCTTGCAAAAGAAGAGTGACTCTTTTTTTTATTCCTTAGCTTTTTTTAAGACAAGCTAACCAACTTGAAGCAAAGTTTGTTAATACAGGAGTGTCTTTTTCTACTGTGGGTTGGTTATGATTCTTCAGCTGGTTTAAATTTATAATAGGCAACGTTTTGTGCAACTCTTTCATTACCAATCTGGAACAACAAAACTTAAACCGGTAAAATATTGAGAAAACCGGAACAGCTCCTGCAACACCAGAGATCCATACTGGTATATAACCTATCTTTTCGATGTTGGTGTTTTGTCTCTGTGGTTTAACAAAAATCATCTTTAAACATTGAAGTATTGGATCAAACAAAAATTTAGAAAGATGATGTAACTATATTTCTAGCAAATGACTAACAAACACCTTTCTGATTAGAAACATGCAATTTTCTATTTTTCTTTGTATTAATTTGAGTCTGACAAAAGGAACGTATATTACATTGTCGTAACATATTTTGGATTTACGAATATTATGGACATGCAGAGTAAGACTCCCTACATTACACGAGTGGTCCGAAGAGTTTGCTTGGGAATTCGGATGACAAATGTTTTCAGTCTTCTTCTATCTTCTTCCACCAGACTTTCTTGTGTGTTTGTTTTGTGTGTGTATTTGTAACTGAATGTTTCAATGAAATGAAGTAGAAATCGTGCACTTTTTTTTGTTGTTGTAACAAGTAGAAATCGTGCACTTAACTGTGGTAATTTTAATTCTGCTAAAATAAAATTTAAATATTGCATTTGGTTATTAAATTATAATTTATAATAAAATATTAAATAGAATGTGGAAAACCTATGTTGGATTCAAATGTGTAACCGTTTCCTTCCAAAACATCTCATTAGGTAGGACGTGATGTATTGAGTTTGAAACAATTATAGTTGTGTGCTTGTGTTTTGGTTATAAGACAAAGATTGTTGCAAAAAAAACAAGAAGAAAAAAATATTATTGATAACTAAAGAAGAGAAAGATAGCTTTTTTAAAAACAAAAAAAAAGAAGAAGAGAAAGATAGCGTGGAGAAAGCGAAAAAATGGAGGGTAATGCTTATCACCTCATTGTCCTCTCTTCCCTTTATTGCTTTAATGCTTTCCCATCTCCACTTTATTTCTTCTAATTTTGGGACATTTTTCATAAAAACAAAGCAATCACATATATAAGATCTTCACTAATCTATAGTAATATTCCATAGTTGCCTTTGCACGTCTTAGTATTTCACTAATCTATAGTAATATTCCATACTTCTTTTTTGCCCAAAAAAAAGTATTCAGTAATTCATTTTTCACTAATCTAGTAATATTATAATCTGCATTTTACTAATATCAGTACTCAATTCTCAAATCATTCTTCTGTTCAGAAACTCCTTGTAAAACACTCAGAAACCTCGATAATTAGACACATGAAGCTATACATAGAAGAAGAAAACATTTTCATATTACTTAGTTGTTAGCTGAGAGTTGAGAGGGACTCAACATTGATTTTCACTAGACAGAATTTTCTTTCTTGTTATTACATATTTACTTACTTACGGAGGAGGAGTGCATGTACCTGACATTATAGTGCATGCTTTATTGTTGTACGCTGGAGAAAGGAATAAAAAAGCTAAGAAAAGTGTATGTTAATGGAGCAGAAAAATACTTGAAAGGACGTATGGGATCAGTGAAAAAGAAAGAAAAATCTAGAGAGGATTACGAGAGTGATGCAACATAGCTCATTTCATGATTACGAGGGACATTCTTTTGTGTAGCCCTTAAATCAATGGGGGAATTCTTTGCAAGGTAAAGAATCTCTTTCGATTTTTATGTATTGATAAAAATAGGAGACGAATATTCATCAGCTTAAATGAGTAAAATAGTTTTTTTTATTGCAATAGACTTTTAACCAGAACAGTTTTGATAACTTTTTTGTGTATGTGAATAAAAAAAATGCAGATCAAGCCGTTAGATTGAATATTTTATAGATTATGTTACTTGATTGATTTGACTGATGACATGAAAGGTGGCAGCTGAGATTTGGAAAACCAAAGGCATGCATGATTTAGAAATTTTATAAATAAAAACGATTCGATATATATAGAGAAAAAATGAGAGACACATGAGTATTCAGGGTTGAAATAAAAAGCTTAGCTATGTTGCTTTAAACTAATAAAATCGATAATTCAGGGTTAAACTAGTTTTTTCCCCGTAATAGTATTCTTTACACTTTCTTTTTGGTACGAATGATTATTTTCTTTACACTTTAGATATATATTAAGCCACACCTTAGTATTTTGTATAATATATATATATATATATATATATATATATATCTAACCTCTGTACAAAATAGATTACCTTGATTACCTTAGATATATATATTATACAAAATACTAAGGTGTGGCTTAATTATATCTCAGACTATGAAGCTGTAGTCAGAAAATGTCATTTTTATCAGAAAATATCAATATATAATCAGAAAGCATCACTATATAATTCAAACAAGATTATGCTCGTTTATGATTTGCCTTTTTATGTGAAATGACATAATAGTTGTTCAAAGCTTGGTAAAATGATACGTTTGGGGGTTTATTAAAAAAAAAGGAACTTCTAAATTTGAGTGGACGATGTATTTCCCCACGAGAACTATCATATAGCATCAGATATCCACCGAACTATAACCTCGTGTTACATCTCCATGGATCGAAAGTTACAAACTTATTTCTCCCTAAATCGATAGTTCCAAATTTAATTGTCCATAGACTATGGTTTTTATTGATTTATTGTTAACCATATAATTTAAATCAAATAAACACGTCAATAATCTATTTTTTATCAAACAGGAAAATGCTAATATACTATTCAAACTCCAAACTATTACTATTATCAAAGAAATTTTGAAGATTTTCATATTTTGAAAACTTATTTTTTGATAAAACTGAATTTTTGTTTGGTTTTAAAGTTGTTTGGTTAACAATAAACCGGTTAAACCGTTTTTATGTGTAATTAACTTCTAAATTATTAGTTCGAAGAGAAATAGATTTTGAACTATCGATTTGGGGTGAAATAAGTTTATAACTTATAATTCGGGGAGATATGGCACAAAATGATAGTTCGATGGATATCTGATGGTATATGATAGTTTTCGTAGGGAAATAGCATGTTTAGCCTCTAAATTTCGATAAACACTAGCAGAACAAGACAAAGATAAATAGCGTGTGTGTAAATGGAGGTTGCCTTTTGAACAGAGTGGAATAGAGAAAACATTGAAACAAGAATTCAGTCAAAAAAACATTGAAATAAGAAATAGAGTAGGTGAGGAAAATGAACCTGACAAAATAATACTTAAGTATATTATTTTAACTTTGAGGAGAGAAAAAAAACAAGTCTGAAACCTGACACATACATCACTAGACCTTTCCTTCTTGAAGTAAGAAATGGAAGAAAATTGAGGTGTTAACGTGAAATTCAAGCAATGTTTAAATAATATTGTTTCAGGCTATTCACTTTCTACAGTCATCTTTTTTTGGAAGTGTCCCAGAATTATCTTCATCAACAGTCTACACTAAATCTTTCGCACCATTTTTAGAACTCGGAAAAGGGATACAATACATTCATAGAGGTTCTGTAATGTTCTTTTCACTCGTTATAACTTACCAAATTCTATGAACACTGCATAGGGACCGTTCATTTCGATCGTATTGTTTGACAAGACTTCTACAAACGTTGAAGAGTGAATAGTAACTTTAACTATCAGAAAATAAGTAGTTATGATGATCACGAATTAGAAATGAAATGACATAATGATGTATATAGTAGATTAATAAGTTTGCCAAAAAGGAGATTGGAGAGTACCTAACACCCACGTGCATGGCCATGACCATGTCACTCTACATTATGGATTTTTGTTCTCAAAAGAATGAGTAAACTATGCTTGTAGCTTATGATTTTATTGGGCCGACTCTTTGGAGATGTAGACGAGTGATATGGAAAAAGCGAAGCAAAAGATCTAAAATTGATGCACTCACTTTTATCAGTATTCCATCTTTCTTAGAAATAATCAGAATACAGTTTCAATTTGTTAATAAAAGAGGAAGAGAGATCCAAAATAAAAACTGTTAATTGTGAACATGGATTAAGATTTAAGGAACATTGGAAGTTTGATCTAAAAAAAATACTGTTTCTCATGCTTTTTTTTTTTGTAAAAATGTTTCTCATGGAGAAAATATATATATATATATATATATATGTACACACATTATTATAATTAACAATTGTAAAACGCAAGTGTTTTCCTGGCATTTATGTTTCAACTTGAACTTGTAAACCTAGATGGGCTTCAAACTTAAAACCAATTGGTGATAAGTGGATTGACCCATCTATCTTATATATCACTAAGAATCTTTTCCAACTTCCGATGTGGGACACTGTGTGTCTAATAGAACTTAGCTAGATATACGAAGAATGTCCTATACATTATTCAAAAAATATATTTCGATGAACTGATATAATATCTTTTTCAGTGGGCCCCAAAATTATAATACTTAAATTCAATTTAATTTGCCTTNGATTGACCCATCTATCTTATATATCACTAAGAATCTTTTCCAACTTCCGATGTGGGACACTGTGTGTCTAATAGAACTTAGCTAGATATACGAAGAATGTCCTATACATTATTCAAAAAATATATTTCGATGAACTGATATAATATCTTTTTCAGTGGGCCCCAAAATTATAATACTTAAATTCAATTTAATTTGCCTTTAAAAAAATATACTATTTTGTATCTCCCATTTATTATTGCGCGCACTCGTCGCAGAAACAGATATTCCTCGCTGTCTTAACTGAAAAAATAAGATCGTTTTAACTCAAAATCTTTCACACAAAGACAAAGATCTTCTTCTCTCCCTCTCAGCTGCTGAAAGGTAGTAACAATGGAGAATCCTCAAGATCAAATAGAGTCAAAGGAGATGATGCTTCAACCAAGA